ATCCCAGCACTCGGGAGACAGAGGCAGGCAGGCAGATCTCTGTGAGTTTGAGGCCAGCATGGTCTACAAAGTGAGTTCCAGGACAGCCAGAGCTATTACACAGAGAGATCCTGTCTTGGGTGGAGTGGGGGTGGGGCTTTTATAATACACTAATTTTTCTCCTGTTCTTCTAAAAGCTCTTCTTAAGAATTTTTAAGCCAGGCAACTGTAAGTAAATGAGTAAAAGCCCTCATTCCCATCCCTACCTGCTCTTCATGGTTAGCAGGGGTTCTAGGGGGACCGGGTGACAGGGTGACACTTGGCATAGAGCGAGGGGCTGCAGGAGTTCCTGCCTTCCTGCAGAAATGGCTTAGAGACAGCTGTTGCCAGTGAGCCGGCTTTGTTTCTCCAGCAGCAGTGCAGAGAACTGGCCACCTGTAGAGGGACTTAGAGTCTAGTAAGGGAGACAGAGACCACATCACTGCATGAACACATATACCGTTAATATCATGCTACATGCCAGGGAGGAAGAGCACAGGAGTGTACTGACGGCCAACGTGGAAGGCCAAAAGCCCCACGTAGCTCAAGCTCCTCACGGCAAGAGGCAAATGTCCCATCACCCGACAGGCACACCGAAGTCTGGGACTCTGGGCCACACTGCGTAGTTTTCATCGTGTCGGGCTGGAAGTCAGACGAGGTTCCCAGAGCTGAGGATGTCTGTGACAGATGCTGCCAGACACAAAACACGGTTTGGATGGAGTCGCTGGTGTCTCCCCTGAGTGTGGCTCTGTCGTCTGTTGAGGAGAGTTCAGCTCCTCAGGCTACTGGAGGGCTCTCAGCCATCTGGTGTCTGTGATCCCTCCCAGCCTCGTCTGCCACTTGCCAGGGAATTCCCAGAGTAGAATACAGCTGCCAACCCTGTCCTCCGTATCAGCACGGCCCTCAGTCTTCATTCTTCTTCTTAGACCTGTTCATTTTAATATGTGCTGGTATAGATATAATTTAATTAATTAATTAATTAGTTTGTTTGTTTTGGTTGTTCAAGATAGGCTTTCTCTATGTAACAGACCTGGCTGTTCTGAAACTTGCTTTGTAGACCAGGCTGGCCTTGAACTTACAGAGATCCACCTGTCTCTGCCTCCCCATTGCTGGGAATAAAGGCGTGTGCTACCACCGCCTGGCTTCGTTTTTGTTTTGAGAGATGACTCAATGATAAAGAATATACTGACTGCTCTTCCAAAGCATCTGGGTTTGACTTCCAGCACCCACATGACAGCTCATGACTGTTGTAACCCCGGTTCTAAAGGATGTAATACTTTCTTCTGGCCATGGGCACTACATGCATGGACGTGGTGCAGGCAAATATCTATAAAAATAAAAAGTGAAAAAGTGCTCAATTTATTTAATGAAAATTCTGAGTTAGATCAGTTTTTTTTTAATCTTTTCACCAACTTAATATGTTTATCCAAAAGCACAATGCAAAATGAGAAGATCACATAGGTGATATTACTTCTTTATGTGTGTCCCTGTGTGTGTGAGCAAGGGTGTGTGCCTGCACATGTGTGTAATACCTATGGATGTCAGAGGACCCCTTCCTTGTCATTCTTCAGGCACTGTGCACCTTTTGCTCGCGGGTCTGCCACTAGCCCGTGTCTTCACCAAGTTGACGAGGCCAGCTAACAGGGAGTACCAGCTGTTCTGTCTCTTCCTCCTGTCTCACTGCCAGGATGACAGGCATGTGCCACCAAGCTTGGCTTTTTATGTGGGGTTCCGGGGATCAAATGCAGGTCTTCTTGCTGCCAAGACAAGAGCTTTACAGACCGAGCCATCTCCCAGCCCCTTGGAGGTGACAGCCACACATGGCTGTTAGAGAAGCTGCATTCGCAGTGAACGAGAGCAAGTGTGGACTCATGGATGTTCACGGTGCTGAGAATGAGTGACAGCTGAGGGCTTGTCCCTAAACAAGGTTTTCACGACACCCCCTCTGAGGCCAGGGACTATCACAGAACAGGGAGCAGAAAGAATGTAAGAGCCAAAATGCAAGGAAAAGGGCTGCAGAACGCTGTCTCCGGGGGACAGCAGCCACTGCTGCAATCACGCTCTTACAGCAGCCGCGGCTGCCTGCACAAGGCCACCCCACCATCAGGCAGAGTTAATCATAGATCCGGGAGGGACTTATGGGCCCCACCCTTCCTTCCTGAGCTATTGCCTTCTGGTGGATTCCTGGGGAGGGACTGTCATTTTCTTTAGTTGTATATCTGTTGGTAACACCAGCCCAGGCTCTAATGGATATTTCCAAGCTCCAGGTTTTCACAGACAGCCCTGGGTAAACTCAGTGGGACATAAAACAGAACGCTCGGCCATGAGTGTGGAAAGGCGCAGGTAGGAGAGGGAGGAGGGGGAGGAGGAGGAGGAGGGGGAGTAGCCAGGAAGCAGTACATGTATGAGATTGTCAGAGGTCAGATTTAATAAAATGTATCTGGCTTTTAGAGATACATTTCTCTGTGTAACAACTCTCACTATCCTGAAACTCATTCTGTAGATCAGGCTGATTTTGAACTCACTGAGCTCCACCTGCCTCTGCCTCCCGAGTGCTGGGATTAATGGGATTAAAGGCGGGCACTGCCACTGCCTGGCAATAAAAGATATTTTTACAAGGAAGAACGATGAGGCTGGAGAAGCAGGTGAGCTGTAAGAGTGTCCCGCAGAGGACCTGAGTTCAGTTCCCAGCACCGTGTCAGGTGGCTCCTGAGGGCCTGCAATGCCCGCTCCACAGAACTGAAACCCAGAAGCAGCTGTGCTTGTGAGCACATTCAAACAGACACATGGTTAAAATTAAAACCAACCTTCGTTTAAGCAATATAGACCTTTTTTTTTTAAGTATAACTGAGAGTCAGGGACTAACAGAGCTTTCTGAAAAATTGAATTTTATTACCCTTGATGTAGTGACACTTTTTAACCAAAGAAACTTCCCTTTAGTATCTCCCATCCCTTTAATATATCCATTCCCTTTAATGCTCCCTGACTTTCTCTGGTTTTAAGGGCAGGATTGTGGATAGAGCTAGTCATTTCACGGCATCTGAGCAGTCTCCTTGCCAGGAAACAGCACCATCACGTCTGCCCAACTGTGCCAAGGAGAGGCTGAGTCAGTGGCGAGTTGAAGGTGCCTTTAACCTTGCTATCCTCTTACATATTCCTACATGGCAGGACACGGATGTCCATACACGCATTCCCACACTGCATGTCCATGACAAGTTAGCTCAGCACTTTGTGGATACGTGGTGGCTGGCTAGTTGACTCAAACAAGGGCTTGAAGAATTTCCTCTCCTTCATTCCCTGTAACCATCCTTAGCTCCTCCCATGGCATCTGGCTTCGCCATCTTCCTCACCCAGTGAATGGATGAATGAGTGAATTCACCCAGTGAATGAATGAGTCGAGTGCGTGAAGACCTCGCCTGTAGTCAGATGGGTAGAGGAAAGGCTGGTGGAACCTGGGGTTCAAGGTTGTGCTTACAACTTGCCATGTGTCTTAGTTGGTGTTCTGGTGCTATGAAGCTGTACCATGACCACAGCAACTCTTATAAAGGAAAACACTAATTGGAGCTGGCTTCAAATTTAGAGGTTAAGTCCATTATTGTTATGTTGGGACGTATGACAACGTGGTGCTGGAGAAGGAGCTTGTAACACCCGATTCTGTGTTACCTTTCTCAGTATGGGTCACGTGCCTCCGTACGCGAGTTTGGGCAAAGGCCTGGAGATTGAACAAAGACACAAGAGACCAGAGTCATTCGACAAGAGATCACTGAATGCCACTTTATTTAGCTTAATGCAAAGCTAATATACCTAGGCCCCCGGTAAGGGAATTTCCTTTCAGCCATAGGGGAAACTGGCACCGTACAGGACCTTCCCAGGTCCTTCCCAGGCAGGGGGCAGGGAGCAGCAGCGGAGAGAGACCTTGGTGCTGTGTAGGAATTCTCCAGGGCAGGTGGGAAATTACCATACCAAAAGTGAACAGTGTTCTACAGCTAAATCACCAGGCTACCGCAGAGTGAGCACAGAAGCAAAGAGGATGCTAGCTGGGTGGCCAGAAGCATCCTAGAAATTCACCCCAAGGAGGAAGGAGAGACCGGGCCCAACAGGAGCTGAGAGTTCTATGTCTTGATTGACAGGCAGCAGGAAGAGAGAACACTGGGCCTGGCTTGAGCATTTGAAACCCCAAAGCCCACCCCAGTGATACACTTCCTCCAACAAGGCCACACCTCCTCATAGTGGCACTCCCTATGACCAAGCATTCAAATCTATGGGCCCATGAGGGCCATTTGTACCCAAACCACCGCATTCAGCAGAGTGGTGAGTCTGTAGCTCCCTTGGCTGCCTTTTCTGCATGATGTCAAGGGTCACACAAAACAAAGTCACCTCCTGTATGCTGATGAAGCTGCGTTTGCCCAAAGGCTAGGAATGGTGCTTTATGGGAGCAAGTAGAAGCTCTTGCTCACAACTCAGCTCTCATGAGTCCTCAAAATCATGCTCAAAGTGGTTTTCATGACTGCAGAAAATGCAAAATTGATTTTAATTAAAATTATTTCATGAATTTCCATATAATTCCAACTTTGAAAATGGTTTTATCAGCAGGGCAGTGGTGGTGTATACCTTTAATCCAGACACTCCAGAGGCAGAAGCAGGTGAATATCTGAATTCTAGGCCAGCCTGGTCTACAGAGTGAGTTCCAGGACAGCCAGGGATGCACAGAGAAACCTGTCTTGAAAAACAAAAACAAACAAAAAAGGAAAATGTTTTTATCTACACTAAATGGATACAAAGTCAGCAGTGGTTGCTCTGGGTGGTAGAACTACAGGTGGATCTTCCTTTTATGTATTTTGCCCCTCAGTCTTCAACAATAATGTATTAAAACGTGCAATGTTATTGAAGTTTACTGTAGTAAGTGCTATAGAGTTGAGTAGCTGTGGGCCAAGAGCACTTCTGCTCCTGAGCTGTGTGCTAATGGTTCAACTTTGCCTCAGTCCAGGATCTGTGTGCCTCGGAGGATCACGGCTGTGAGCAGCTATGTGTGAACCTGCCTGGTTCCTTCGTCTGCCAGTGCTACAGCGGCTACACCCTGGCCGAGGATGGGAAGCGATGCACAGGTAGGTGTCTCTTCAATCATGTGTGCTGAGAAAGGACATAGAAGTACAGGAAGGAGAGCAGCAGAATGCAGCATGCATGAGGCCCAAATAGTCCTTTAGATTTTAATGAAGTAGTCAGTGCTGTGGTTTAGTTTTTTAGGCAGAACTGAACTTTAAAGACTTTTTTGCTTGAGGTCAGTATTTGCTTATTCAAAACCCTTCACATGAGGCACGCTTATGACAGTCTATGTAAATGTATTTGCCTGTTACATCACTGCTTTAAGGGACAGTGCTATGCAATATGCCCTTTGTACACCATAAAGATTTGTCTCTCGAGTTGGTTTAGTAGAAAGCTGAGTGACTGGTAGCTAGGCAAAAGGTATGGGCTGGATAGCCAAACTGAGACTACTGGGAGGAAGAGGGGCAGAATCAGGGAGATATCAGCCAGCTGCAGAGTAAGCAGGGTGTGTACAAAATGAGGTAACAAGTCATGACCCACATATGGGTTAATTCAAATGTAAGAGTTAGGTAGTAACAAGCCTGGGCTATCAACCAAGCATTTATAATTAATATTAAACCTCTGTGCCAGTTATTTGGAAACCGGTGGGTAGGACAAACTTCCACCAACAATCTAGGTGAATTAGAGCTTAGTTTGGGGGACCTAGCTATATAGCACAAGTGTTATATATGAAATTTACCTGGTGATGGGCAGGGGTGCTATGCAGTACCTGACAGACACTAGTGACCTTATTTTATCCCTCATTTTGGACCTGCAGTTCAGAGAAAGGCCTAACTATCTGTACTGACATCATGGTCACAGAAAATAAACAGCCTTGAGAGCCAGGGAAGGGGTCTCCATGAAGTGCTTGGAGCTGCAAGCACAGCTCATACAGTTGAACACCCTCCCCACTTGGCATCTCCACAGTGATCAGTTGAGAGATGGGGTAGAGTTTTCCCGAGCCCTTGTAGAGCAGGCCAGCAAACCCCTAAGATGTATGAAGCCCCTTCCTGATTAGCTGCAATTCCCTTGCCTGGTCTCATTCATCATTAAAGCAAGAAATGGCAGGTAAATGCTGGGTGTTCAATGAGCTGGACAGAAGTGAACGGAGATTCCTGACCAAGTCTTGCTTCTCTGTTCTATATCCCGTTGCTTCCAGAGACCATGTTGGATCCCTTCATTCCTTGTTCCCCTCCACAGTATATGTTTATCCTTTTGCATTTCAAATGAGTATTTCCCAGCATGCCCTAGTTATTAATTAGGGGTATGAAAGGCAGGAAAAAGACAAAAAAATGGTCATTTGCTATTTGCATGGGAGTAATGAGAGTAATGTGACTTTGTTTTTCCACACTGGTAGATTTGAAAACTCCCTCATCAGAGATAAGCAAATGGGACTGGTTTACTGAGCACTGAGTCTTAAAGCTATTTATCAGAGCGGGGGAGGGGGAGTAATTTGCTGGTGGTGACCATGACCGAGTGGCAGGATATTCTGTTGGCACATCATCAAAAAAGAAGTCAACACATAACCACAATACTTATTAATTTGTTTCATTAATTTTTATCATAAAACTGATACTTAAAGGATGAGAAAATCGCTGTTAATATTTCATCGCACTTCTACCATACTTCCCCTAGAAGTATCTACTATAAAACATTGGTCCATGATGAACAAGAAGTTATACTGTTTATTTTTATCTGCTAGGGTCTTTTTTTTTTGCCCCTTCCTGTTGTTACATAAGTAGAAACTTTGTGAACTGAAAAATTAAAAATAAAAAAGGTAGAGAATGGGGCCTTTGTGAGGACAGGGATAAGCATCAAGGTGTCAGGAACACAGTTCTGATTGACTGAGTAGGGGAAGACACAGAATAAACTAAGAGCTTGTGGGAGACCCAGGGGATAGACAAGGAGGAGGCCAGTCCATGGGAGGTTGGGAAACTAGAGGGTGGTGGGGAAGCCAGTTCTCTCTGTATTACCAAATAATTGCCTAATTGTCCCTGTGTAGTAGAGAATCTTTGTGTCTCTCAGGATTGTGCTGTAAGTTTGGAATTTGGCATTTGCTGAAGAGCTGAAAGAATGAGCGAGAACACACTGTGTTTGCCAGGAGCAGTGCTGGCCGTATTCATCCAAGACGGGTGTTTTCCCTGCTGGTGCTTATAAGCGTATGAGAATGTGTTGGGCTGGAGGGATGGCTCAGTCGTTAAAGGCTAGGCTCACAACCAAAATACCAAGAATGTCTTGCCTGTATTAGGCGGTCAAGCGGGAGAAACTGTGTATCCTAATGTGACCCGGGCCTCATCCCTCTGATGATCCTGGCATTACCATCTTCACAGCTATCCTTGACCGCCATTGACTAAGCCTCTGGGAGAAGCAGACCATGAGATGAGTGGGCAGATCTCTGTGACTAGTAGCTTCAGTTAGGGAGTTAGAATTCTCAAAAGTCAACTGCTGTTCCATGGGGCTGTGTTGGGAGCCCAGGCAATCATAGAGCCCCCAGAGGACAGAGGTAGAGAAGACAGACATTCTGAGGGACTGGCCTAGAAGATCTGCATATAGAAGGACATCTATATCATCTGGACAGATGAGCAAGCAAGAACCCATGTGATGGGCAGGGATGGTATGGAGGTGGAAGTGTTTTCAAGAGAGATAGCATAGTAAAATATCATTAGAAGCTACACAAGCAGCCGAACAAAGGCACTGTTCTCAAAGATGGAGACTCTAGGAGCTATGAAATATCACAAACCAAACCAAAACAAAACAAAACAAAAAAGAAAAATCACCTCATCGTGTTTTAAGTAAGATTACAATTTTGTGTTGGGCCACGTCTTGACTATGCTGGGTTGGACACACCTGAAACTCATTACCTTGAACTTCTAAGACTCTGAGAATGATGCCATAGGGACGGAAAGAGATGAGAATGGATTCAAGGAAAGGTAGCCTGGAGTTTTGGGCAAAGCGAGGTTAGAATTATGAGACAAGGCAAGGACATGTCAGAGAGAGTGGGGGAGAGAAAGAGCAGAAAATAGCCCAGTGCAGATGAGGATGCTCAGAAAACCAACAATATAGGCAGGAATCGACATGTTTTCCCCTTGTTCCTTTTAATGTCCATTTAGGTTTTACAAGTTTAAATGGCTATGTGTCTTTACTTGTTTTGAAGACATCTGATCTGGACCTTCAAGCCTTACATACCAGTCTTCAGTGAAGTACGTCTTTATTTCACGTAATCTCTAAATTTTATTTTTCATCCATAATGAGGAGTCATGACAGCTACTACAGATGATTTGAGAGGACAAACTATTGAGTAAAGTTCCTGGTGTGCACTAGACCTTGGTCATGACTGTGAAAATAGCCATGATAGTCATTGTTTCCTGCCTAGGGATGAATTGTGGAATGAGAATGGATGGAGGACATTACTCTCAGCCACATAGAGAAAGCAAGAAGAACTAAGGGCAAGAGAAATGTCTGTGAATGACCATCTAAGGCTGTGGAGGGGAGGGAAAAGGAGAAAGTGCATTGAGGAGCTGTAGAATATGATGGGGAGAGCTCTCCAGTGGGCATTCTATTGTTGGCAATAAGGTATCATGACAAATGTCCATCTTGGCCTTTATTGCTTTGCCCTAATGCGCTGTTTATCTCCGAGGTTAGCTGAGTGGTTTATCACACATCGGACAGAGCCTGGATGTGCAAGGCTCTCTTTTGATGCTGGAACTTTAGCCCCTTGTGATCTGCCTGAACAAGGGGTGACAGCCAGGAGTTACGGTGTTCTTTCCGTCTATGGAGGTGCACATAGATTCCAGGCAGAGACGATGGAAGGGATTTGGTGGAGTCGGTGTAAAGGCTGTTCCTAGGAATGCCATGACACCAGTTCTGAGGTCAATAGGACGATACGTCCTTTTGACGATGTCACTCTCATCTCTACCTCTCCCCTTGCTCTGCACCAACCCTTTTGATGATCCTGTGACAGAGGAGGCATGTCCCACCTTCTGGTGTCCCACCCTCTGGTGTCCCACCCTCTGGTGTCCCACCCTCTGGTGTCCCACC